TCCAAAATTTGGGACTTCAGTAATTCGGCACTTTGAGAAACCTTCCCCTAAACCTATCCTTAACCCTACCCCATAAACCTAACTCTACCCCTAACCCTAGCACTATCCCTAACCCTACCTCTACCCCTAACCCTACCTCTAACCTTACCTCTACCCTTAACCCGAACTGTACCCCTAACTCTACACCTAACCTTTGCCCTACCTCTACCCCTAATCCTAACCCTACCTCATAACCCTACCCCTACCTTTATTCTTAACCATATCTCTACCCCAAACCCTTACCCTAACCCTAGAGGTAGGGGTAGAGGTAGGATTAGGGTTAGTGGTAGGGTTAGGGGTAGGCTTAGGGTTAGAGGAAGGTTGGGGTAAGGGTTAGGGCTAGGGTTAGATTCCTGTTATCATTCCATTAATTTTACCTCCCTCTCCTGTTTTGCCACCTTTCAGAAATCTGAAGCACTTTGGCACTTCTGAAATTCGGCACTTCGCAATTCGGTTCGGAACTTCCGAATTTCCGGACTTCGGTAATTCGGAACTTCGGCAATTCTGGACTTCGGCAATTCGGTTCAGTTCGGTTCGGCACTTCCGGAATTCGGCACGTCGGCACTTCCAAAATTCGGCACTTCGACACTTCTGAAATTCGCAATTCGGACATTCGGAAGCATCCGAATGTCCGAATTGCCGAAATTCGTCCGAATTTAAATTCGGACCGAAAAGAATTGCATATGTCTAATGAGCAGCCACAACATCACAGGCATGCCTATTATGCTCGCCCACCTAGTGTCACAATTTCATATCTCCCAATGCTGGGAGGTATGCAGTGTGGGGAGACAGCATTACAGAGCCGCTGGTTATCTAATTAACTGCTCTGGGTGGTGGGATTAACCCAAGTGGTCACATTAGAGGTAAATATTGTTGTGAATGGAATCGGCTGCAGTGTTCAACATATACATAGAACTGAGTGTGCTGGGAGCTCTATGCCCTCAAACTTAATATGTTCTATGATTCACAGTATGACACCAAATATTTCAATAAATTTAGATTATTATATAAACCAAAATGTATAAACTCCACGCCTGCTGTATTAACCCCACACCTGCTGTATTAACCCCACAAATGCAGTATTAATCCCACGTTATCTTATATTAACCCCACATCATGCTATATTAATGTCAAAACTGCTGTATTAATCTCACATCATTTTATAATTACCCAGCATTATGCAATATTAACCCCAAACCTGCTGTATTAATCCCTCACTGCGCTCTATTAACCTCATACCATGCTGTAATAATCCCTCACTGTGCTGTATTAACCCCTCGCTGTATTAACCCCACACAATGCTGTATTAACCTTGCACCTGCACCGGAAACCCCAAACTTGCAGCTTTAAACCTGCACCCATTGTATTATTACCCAAATGTAATAATACATTTTGCTGTAGTATTACGTTCAAACATACTGCATTCAAGTATCACTGTTACAAAATATGTAATTGTAGGTTTCTCTCTAAGTTTTGCAGAACTAACCATGAAAAGGGTACAAAAATCAGGCCTTGTTTGTTTCAGGACCCCACTCAGAGCTCCATCCCAGACCAGCTACCACCTTGCAATGACTGTGCTCTGAGATGAGGTTTGTATGAGTAGGTTTGACATTATGTGTCTCAACAACATGGTTTCACCCATTTTCACACACTCCTCTGTTCCATATATATAAAGATACTGATATCAAACCTCTGTCAAACCTGTTCCCGGGAATCCAGCATAGTGCCTTGCAAATATTTCAATATGCCCATTGCCCAACTGAAACACTTTATTAAAACCCTGTAGATACCATCATCTGGTCTCCGAAAAGATTCCAAGTTTGAACAGATGTGCTCTTCCACCAAACCAATTCCAAAACTACAAGCTACTCCAACCAATAACATACCCAACCCTCTCCTCTTTTGTTCGTATGTGGAATGACCACATTAGCCCCACCCTGTCAGAGAAAGATTGGTACCATTCACTCTCACCCTAGCATTTCATTGATAGAGGCAAATTACAAACTATTATCAAGATAGAACCGAGAACCTATGGACATTCATAGATATTTTCCATCGGTCCCATAGTGCTGTTGGAGATGTAAGAAAGACATTGGTACTCTTCACCACATCTGGTGGACATGCACTGACATCCATCCTTTGTAGTGCAGGGACTAATTAGAGAAGTCATAGGGCTTCAGGTAGATCTGGACATACCCTCCATGCTCTTTCACAAAGTGGACATTGCCCCAAAACAATATAAAAACTCCTTAATACAGCAGCAAAATTAGTGATCACCAACCTGTGGAGGTCAACGACGGTACCAACCTTAACATACTTGCTTAACAAAATAGAACATTTCCGCACTATGGAGGAAATGAGATGGTCTTCACTGTGTAACTACTCCCAATATAAGGCACTTTGGCATCACATATATGACAAATAGAGATGTCGCGAACTGTCCGCCGAACTGTTCGCGAACTGTCCGCCAGCGAACAATAGCGTGTTCACGTTGGGCGAACATATCCGATTTCCGGTCCGCCCCCTATATGTCATCATTGAGTAAACTTTGACCCGGAACCTCACAGTCAGCAGACACTTCCTGGGAGGGAGGGTCTGCTGCTGATTGGGTGGAATGTGTCTGCTGGCTGTGAGGTTCCGGGTCAAAGTTTACTCAATGAAGACGTATATGGGGCGGACCGGAAATTGGATATGTTCACCCAACGCGAACACGCTATTGTTCGCCGGCGGACAGTTCGCGAACAGTTCGGCGGACAGTTCGCGACATCTCTAATGACAAACAATAATAGCACAGGGCTCCCCACTTAGGAGAGACCCGGATAGTCAGGTACCATACATTGGGATGCCAGAATAACACATATTCAACATGAAACCTTCATGACCTTCGAACAATGCTCCTTCCTTCCCCCATTGAGGGAAATCCACATACTACTTAATGCACTATATTCTCTGTGACATGTGACATACAGGGCAGGCGCTACCATTAAGGCGAATAAGGCATTCTCCTGGGGCGCCGGCCTCTGGGGGATGCCCACCGGATGGTTTCCCGGTGGGCTGCCTGTGGCGAAACCGACCTCGCCACTGGGCATTGGAGAAGACTGATTGCCAGCCTCCTGCCATGTGACTATGGCCCCCGGGATGTATTGCCCCCTTTAAAGACATGATTTGGGCATAATGGATTTGTGTTGTGCTGCTGCTAGCCCTTTTAAGAACCATCTGGGGACATACTGTGGAGTTACTGGGTGGCCACCATTTCCTGTATCAGAAGCACATGGTGAGAACAATGGATGGCGGCCATTTTAACTCACAGACACTGTGTGGACTTTTCAACACAGTGCCATCTCGCCAGTATTTGTTGCACAGAGACATCGTGCGGTGGTTTTGGACTATACAGCAGGGGACACATTATACAGTGATTGTTTTTTATTTAGCCTGTATATGTTCTGCAGAATCTGCATTAAACTGTATTTTCCAAAGTACTGAACGGATCTGGGTGAATTTTGGATATGTGGTTCACCCAGATCCCCCAGTTCCAAGGATATATTTTTATGGGGTTATTGCATGTTTTGGGGTCCCTGTGATGTGTTTTATGAAACTGTATTTCTCTGGCTGTGATAATTAGATTACCCATTGTGTTCAGTAATCATATCACAGCCAGAGGGGAGGATTTTGTGTGGGAGTGTCTGGGTGTAGTGTATGGATTGATTGGCTGTTTTGTAACGCCCTGTGGGCTGTACTATGTTTGTGGATTGGGAATAAAAGAGACTGTATGTGACAGTACAGGGAGTTCCTGTTTAACCCTCAAAGTGAAGTGTCGTCTCATTATTGGGGGAAGGATTTATTGTATGCTGTTCCAGTTTGACTGCTAGGAGAGTAAACCTATTCGTATGGTTCCTATTCAACTGTCTACAGCATTCATATGCTTGAGAGGATTCATATGCTTCTCCGGTTCGGTGGCTGTGGTGTCTGCTGCAGTGCTTGGAGTCCTCAGGAAGCGCTAGGAGCATCCTTTAACGGAGGTACCCAGTCGGGGTGCCAGGTGATCCGTTACACTGCCCTACTGATATCTGGGGATGATGTGCTGGTTGAGCGGCTCCTAAGCCAACCCCGAGCGCAGCCATTCAGCTGCTGGGCTCCCTCTGCAGCTGATTACCTGCTCAGGGAGTGGGGTTTACTGTAAGCAGGGGAAAGCCGGGATGTGACCTGGTATCCTGGCTGCCCCCTGTCTGTGAACACAGGAAGCACTCTGAGGGGAACATGAAGCAGCCTGTGCTAACAGTGCACGGCTCTCCTGCTACCCCAGCAGCAAGAAAAACAACATCCTGGATCCTGCTGCCTGGACCCCTTCACAGCACCCAGGTATGGCATGGGGGGATTGCTTATAGTATGAAGGTTTGTAAATTGGTGTGTGTGTTAAATTACTGTGTTTGTGTGTGTAAATAAAGTGTGACTATATGTAGAGTGGTGTGAGTTTGTGTTTGACTGACAGTGTGTGTGTGTGTGTGAGAGAGATTGTGCAAGTGACACTGTGTTAGTATGTGCAAATGACTCTGTGTGTGAGAGAGAGTGTGCAAGTGACACTGTGTGGTGTTAGTAAGAGTGTGTAACTGACAATGTGTGTTGGTGAGCGTAAGTGACACTGTGTATGTTAGTGAGAGAGTGTGTGTGTGTTAGTGAGAGTGTGCAAGTGACAATGTGTAGGTCAGTGAGAAAGTGTACGTGTTAGAGTGTGTAAGTTAGTTAGAATGTGTAAGTGTGTATGCCAGTGAGAGAGTGTGTGAATTAGTGAGATTGTGTAAGTGACACTGCAAAGGTAATTATTGCAATTTTTAAGAAACTGAAATAATTACTGTCCTGGGTTAACGTTAACTCCTCTAGTGGCTATGCATGGAGACGTCACGCAAAACCTAGTGTCATGGAAATAACACTGCGAGCGCGGCTATTAAGGAGCGAAGGAGGACCCAAGCCAGCATGAAAGGCATTGGTGCTGGACCCAGGTAAGTGACAGAAGGGGTTTTTAACCCCTTCTGCACCACAAGGGGGGTGCGCTTGACAGAGGTGGAAGCTATAGTGCCAGGATAACAAGTTTTTTTCTGGCACTATAGTTTCCCTTTAATGCCTACTCAGTGCGTCTCTTCATTGTAATTGAGAGTTTAGTGAATAAACATCTAAAGGGCATGTAGTTGCATTCATGAGGGGGCGGCAAAATGGATTGTTGCCTAGGGCGGCAAGAATCCTTGCACCGGCCCTGGTGACATACATGAAAGTTCATTACAACGGCCCTTATGAGGTCAGTATACTTGACCCATGGCAACCCCCCTACTACGAATGCACTGTCTATATGTATTAACTGGATCAACATATCACTCTTCTTTGCTTTCATTGCTAACTCCCCTCCTCCCTCCCCTTATATATACACCTTGTTCACCCCTCAGTGCATTATGCAGGACAAATACACTGAAAGGCGAGAATGTAGTAACATAATGATTTGCAACAAATTACATCACGATTTTACTCTCTTTCTCTTTTTTTTCTATAAATATTACAATGTCATCTCTATGACAAACTCATTCCATATTGGTCTACACCTGCTAGTTTGCCTAACTGATGTATAAAATCTCAAGCATTATATGACTGTGACTCTCCTGTACTCTTTATGTAACCATACACCTGTATTGGATTGTATTCACCTTCGTATGTATGTATCGATGCTCTTTCACCTTGTTAAAAGCTAATAAAAAGATAAATAAAAAAATGTAAGCATTTGCCACATTCTGATCAAAAAAGTGTATTCTAAGCAAAATATTTTGATGTTTGATATAGTTGGAGCTCTCTCTGCCTTAAAAGCAGAGATATTGCAGCTTTCTAATAAATGTGTGAATTCATAAAAGGAGCAGTCTACAGAAAACTTTAGACAATTGAAACTGAAATGCAACGTTAAGACAAAAATAATTGATTTAGAAAAATTCTCAAACGCAGCTACAGTCCCACATTGGCCAATTAAGCCTAAAGTTTACAATTCTCTTTTCAGTTTTGTACAATTTACTGTTTAGTAAATAAACCCTTTGACTTTATAACCACTACGGCTCAGTGTAATGGCATGAGCAGCAATAGTTTATGAAACCATTTCAGAGTGGTTTATCAAGGGCCTTTAAAACCATTGTTTGCGCTATGAAGCTATCACTGCTCCACCTCGGGCTGCTATCACTGCTCCACCTCGGGCCTACCAGCCAAAGAATATTTTGTGAACGTGCAGACCTTAAGCATTGCCCCGTAGACTACCAGTGAACAGCATCACAGTCCACCAGGGAATTTGGATCATAGATCCCAACACCTTCCTAAAGGTTAGCAGAATACAAACATCACAGATATATACATCACACACAGTCCCAATGCACATCACCCACATTAATTCCCCTATGCACCGTCACCTCATGTGCACAACCATCCCAGACAAACTATTACGTTCAGCTTCACAACACACACACACATTACATGCAGCAACACCACAAACAACATACAGAGCTATCCCTAAACTAACTCTGCCATAATCAGCCTCCCTCAAACAGTCCTCAGTCAACCTCCACACATACTCCTGCACTTATCCTGTCACAGTCATCTCCCCCATAGTCACCCTCATAAACAGACACCCACCAACAGCAAGTCACTCTTATACATACACAGTAAATATCATGCAGACTTGTCACCCCTCACACACAACACAACCTCACCATTCACACAACGTGCACATCAAAAACACAAGTAGACTGCCATTCTCATATGTTCCCAGAAACAGAGACATACATGCTCACAGACACAGAGATATGCACACACAAACACAGTTACAATACACACTGCCAAACGCACTCAGTCAGAAATACATAGAGCTAGATACATATTGTCAGATAAACACACTGATTGTATGTCTGCACCTGTCAATGTGTATGAGTATCATCATTGTGTGTCTCTGTGCAGCAGTGTGTTTGCATGTGTGTGTATTGTATCACAGTGTATACATGCATGCGTAATATGGTATGGGTAATTTGACATGTTAATGTGGCATATGGGATAATGTATATGTGAGTGAATTATAGGCTATGTTACATATTCAGAAATTTTATTTTCAAAACTATTTTCTTACCTGTAACTTCATAATTTTGTAAATGACTCTGACTCTTTAAACATTTTTATGTCCAACCAAAATATTTTGTTGTGTTTCCATTAAATAATGTGCTATCAATGCATACTAAAATGATAAATACGGGGGGCGTGGAAAGAGAATGGCCGCCTAATCCCAACACTCCGCGCCCTGCTGCCGCAATCCGCCTCCATCCGTGCGAACCAGCGACACATGGGTCGCACAAAACGGACCCAGATGACCCCCTCGACACCACGGACGCAGGGAGAGGCCCTGTCCGCGTCCATCCGTGCCTACCTCTGCACAGCGGGGATCCTCGCCTCGCAACACGAGGCTTCCAATATGGCGCCGTCCTCCCCGAGCTCCACGATATCGGAAGACAGCCAGCAGCCGACTGACCTCCGGGACAGCAGCCCGCCGGACTGGTATGCACTGTTTGCCTCCCTGCCGAAAAAGGACAACACTCCGCACGGAGATCACCACACTCCGCTCCTCCCTGTCAGCACTAGAGGGGAGAGTAGAGGCCCTGGAAACTGCAGGCACACCAGCCCCAAGCAATACACAGAAAACCCCTGACACACAGTCACGGCAAATCACTGACCTGCGGCTCCATGTTGAAGACCTGGATAACAGGAGCCGCAGGCATAACATCAGGGTGAGGGGGCTGCAGGAATCACAGGGCCCTGAAGACCTAAAGGACGCACTAATCCCCATCTTCATTAATTCTCCTATGAACAGGCCCCCTGAGGCAAGGCTGTATATAGACAGAGCACACCATACCCTCCACCCCAAACCACCACCATCAGCACTCCCGAGGGACGTCATATGCCACATTCAAAACTTCCAATTGAAAGAAGCAATCATGAAGGCGGCTAGGTCGGAGAGGACCTGGAGGATTGGAAGGCACCGAGTGGAGCTCTATAACAATCTCTCCCACATCACCCTACAAACAAGACGGGCCCTCCGGCCAGTCACTACTGCGTTACAAGACCAACAAATCCGTTACCGCCGGCAACTCCCATTCTCCCTAGTAGCACGCAAAGGCACTATGGAAGCCACCATCAGGACACCAGAGGATGTACCAATCTTCCTAGAAGCACTAGGACTCCCACCCATCCAAATAAGGGATTGGACTAACTGCCCCCTTAACGACAGACTCATGAGCAGGCTGGTAACGCACACATTCCCTTCCGACGAACAATACGTGGGCATGGCCCCACCACGCTGCACCCGAGGAGTAACAGATGCCTGAAGCCGGAGACTACACCCGGACCTCTTCCACACCTGAAGACACGGGGTAAAGACACACGGACTTATGAACAGGACTCGAACTACCCCACCCCCGCCTTGTTATTTTGGACTTATACCCACGACGCTACTACCGTAAGCCTGGAAGAACAGACCAGAAGAATGCCTGCCCTTGGGAACAGAAGACAGGCATTAACAGAAAATTCCAGAGACAAAGACTTTTTTTTTCATATTTTTTTCATATTTAAATTTTTTAGTAAACATTTTTTTTCCCTCTCTCATCTCTCTCTCCCCCCCTACCCTCCACTAGCAGGCCACCAATGCATCGCAGTCCACTGTGTGCAGAGAAGGCTCTATGTACATACTGAGCCCACCCTGCCAATTATATGACATTGCCACTCACCGAAGATTGAGCATACGGGCACCAACCTCTGTAAGCTTGTATCACAATACAAGGGGGAGGGCGGGATTCAGGGGATTTGACCTACATGACAGTTCTAGCAGGGGGTGGGAGGGAGACTGCAATACAATGTTGCACGTAGGGACTACGGATCTGGACCTTGTATCCCCCCCCCAACACCTCCATTTCTGCCTAGACCGGCGGCCGCACCCCCGACAGAACCTGACGGACACACATACTGACACCCGTTTGATAAGGGGACTGGGAGCTGGGATGGGAGGGTCTCCTACCGAAGAAGGCTTCAGAGGACGGTAACTAACTGTTTACTATAGCATAGAGGGAAACCAAGCTCATACACTGGTCATACTGGGACATTGTCTAATGTTGAAATGTTATACTAAATCTCCCAGAACACGTGCTCCGAAGCATGAGGGAGAACTTGCACGAATTTCAATTGTCCGACTGCTGGTGGGTCCTACACCATGCCGACAAATACTACTCATACTACTCCCCGGCCCACAAATCCTACTCTCGTATAGATTACTTTTTCATTAACCACCGCCACCTTGACAACCTACACTTGGCCACGATTGCACCAATGACCTGCTCGGATCATGCCCCGAACATTATTACGCTCACGTCACCCATGCCCTTCCACAAACAATGAGTCTGGAGACTCAATAAATCGCTACTGGAAGACCCACTGCTCAAAGCAGAAATAGAAGATCAACTAGAACACTTCTTCCTCACGAACACGCCAAGAGATTCCACCCCGGAGACCATCTGGGAAGCACATAAATGCGCAATACGAGGCACCTTAATCCGCCAGAGGGTGCAGCGCAAGAAACAATGCGCCAAGGCTATCATGGACCTCCTCCAGAAGGTCGCCGAACTGGAAACAAGACACAAAACCACACTGGACGATGATGCGTATACAGAACTGGTCGCGGCTCAGGCTGCCCTAAACTAGCACCTATCCCACAAGATAGCATTCCAACTTTGCATGGCCCAAAAGACTTATTATGAATATAGCAATAAAAACAGCAAAATGCTAGCCAGAGCTCTCAGGAAGAACAGACAAAAGGGCTTCTGTGATTATTATGAATCACTTTACAACATCTCTCCGCGGGGCACAAACTCAGAGGAAATAGAACCCAGCAACCACGCTTTACGACGACAGGCTTACCTAGACACCCACATCCACCAAAAACTAGACGATGAAAATGCACACTCCATGGAAGATCCGATCACTGCAGAGGAACTATCCTCAGCCCTGAAGCTGGCCAAAAATGGGAAAAGCCCAGGACCGGACGGCTTTACCACCAAATATTACCACCAAACATTCTTTAAGACCTTGGCCACACCCCTACTTAATACGCTCAACAAACTGATCGATGGAGGCACGCTAGACCAGAAATCGTTACTAGTGCACATTGTAGTATTACCAAAGGAGGGGAAGGACCTGACCGCATGTCCCAGTTACAGGCCGATCTCCCTGTTGAATGCGGACCTAAAACTGCTTGCAAAGATCTTAGTGCTCCATATTCAACTGACCCTGCCACAACTGATCCATCCGGACCAGGTGGGGTTTATCAGAAACAGGGAAGCACGAGACAACACTACCAAAGTGATCAACCTGATACACGCAGCCAGAAAGACCATGGCGCCTTCACTTCTGATATCTACAGATGCGGAGAAGGCATTCGACAGGGTGGATTGGCCTTTCTTGTTTGACACACTGAAACAAGTGGGAATAGGACCAAACATGCGGGCATGGATCGGAGCTCTATACAGCAATATACACACTGTCTAACCCGTTCGCGATACGGAATGGCACCAGACAGGGGTGCCCCCTCTCACCACTGCTATTCGTCCTGAGCCTGGAACCATTTCTCAATGCAATGTAAGGGAACGGCCAGATATTAACGGCATACACGGCGGATGGGGAGAGAGCAAAATATCAGCGTACGCAGATGACCTACTACAGTGCAGAACCCACTAACGTCTCTCCCAGCCATCATGCAGGAATTCGACCAGTACAACGCCCTAACAAATCTTCAAATCAGCTATACAAAATCGGAAATCCTCCACATCGGATGTGACCGCACAATGATAGCCTCACTTAAAACGCGCTTCCCACTCCGCTGGCGCAAGGAAGCAATTAAGTACCTGGGGGTATGGATCACCTCAGATATCTCGCACCTCTTCCAACTCAACTTCCCTCCCCTACTGGAGACGGTGACTGCAAACCTCAAAATGTGGACGATGCCTCATATCACCTGGCTGGGACGGGTGAGTGTCCTCAAAATGAACGTGCTCCCAAGGTTCCTGTACCTTCTACAGACACTGCCAATACCAATCCCCCAGACATTCTTCGCCCAGGTGCGCAGAGCCTTCACAAGATACATATGGAACAACTGGACGGCCAGAATTAAATACAAGATCCTGATCAAACCCAAACCGCAGGGCGGCCTTGGGATCCCTGACCTATCCACATACCACCGGGCTATCCACCTACTACGGGTGATCAAATGGACAACAGCACCCCCGGATAAACTCTGGACAAACATAGAAGCCAGCTTCACGACACTCCCTCTGCGAACACTCCCATGGCAACCCACAACACCAGTGATCAGGGGAGACCGAAGCCACCCCACAATAGCCGCCACCCTCCACATCTGGAAGAAAATATCGTCAGGGGCAGACCTCTCCCCACCTACTTCCCCCCCTCCACCCCATCCCGGGTAACCCGGCATTCAGTGGCCTGGACACCACCCGGATCATGACTAGCCTGGGACTGCCGCCACAATGTAAACTACACCACCTGCTCACAAATGGAGCCATTATACCGCTCCCTGAACTGCCCATGCCGGAACCTCCAGATCTACTGACAAGATTTAGACATCACCAAATTACACTCAGACTCTGGATGTAACACTCCTCCACTCTGGAGGAACATACCACACATACAGACGGCCCAGGCCGAACAACCACACAGTGGCAAGGAAGCCCTCCCCCAACACAACCCCGACACCACTGGCCCATCCTCCCCGACCCTTCACCTGCCAATGAGCAACTGAAATGTCGGAAACATACAAACTGCTAACATGACAGGACCACAAGGTTGCCCAGGGAACCCATACATGCAGCCAACACTACCTCCTCATCCAACTCACAAGGGAGTGAAGAAAAGTACCCCCGGACAAGAGCACCCAATCTAAGACAAATTAATACATACAGAATAGGTGGAGTATCTTGGTTCGTGGGTACAAGATCTGGGATAATGGCAAAAGTACAATGGTGTAGCTGAAAAGACAAAAATATTGACAAGCACCTAGTGCAATATCATACAGTACATAAGTCTCTCAGTGCAAGTTGTGTGATTCAGTACTCACAAGTGGGGAGCCAGAGAATGATGCCTCAGTCTGGACGCCTGTGGGATAGTTTGGAGGGATCCCACTCCCTTTAGATGTAACAGCTGTATCTGCGTTCTTTGGTGATCTCAAAAAGGAAGAGTGCTCACACCAAAATATATGGGAAGACAATACTTCCTTTAATAAAGAAAAATAACATATAAAATACAAGTAAAACTTTAAAATAGAAAGCAAAATGTTTCTTATATACAACCACTCCAGGTGGTAAAGTAAAAAAGTCCACTTTGGGATAGCAAGACGCGTTTCGCCTATCTTGTAGGCTTCCTCAGTTGCTGTTATTGTTACCTGTCCGTTAGTAGTCCTTTATATTCTCCTGTAATTGTTTAGTTACAGCCACCTATGCGAAATCTGTCTCTTTCGTATTACGTCCTCATTCATGGCTTCATATTGATGATGTATTTTCAGTTTGCAGATTCACCCGTTGTTGGAACGCATATGCGTTCCACTTGTAGAAAAAACTTTATTGCACCCGTTGTTGGAAGCCGTGAATGAGGACGTAATATGAAAGAGACAGATTTCGCACAGGTGAATGTAAATAAACATTTACAGGAGAATATAAAGGACTACTACATCTAAAGGGAGTGGGATCCCTCCAAACTATCCCACAGGCGTCCAGACTGAGCCATCATTCTCTGGCTCCCCACTTGTGAGTACTGAATCACACAACTTGCACTGAGCTACTTATGTACTGTATGATATTGCACTAGATGCTTGTCAATATTTTTGTCTTTTCAGCTACACTATTGTACTTTTGCCATTATCCCAGATCTTGTACCCACGAACAAAGATACTCCACCTATTCTGTATGTATTCATTTGTCTTAGTGCATAGAGAGGTTACCAAATAGGTGTTTTGAGTTACTTGGTCACTGTTGGGGTCACTTGCTTAGACTCTGTATTTGTATTTCAAGAGCACCCAATCCACCAACACCCCACAGGTACGAGACGTACGATACCACCGGGGATGATCAACTTTGTACCATACCCAGACTAAGACCGCTGCCAACCTGGCACATGGATCATTAACTGATAACTTGCCACTGAGAGTCCGCAACCCACTCAGTACGATCCAGATAGGAATAGACCTGAGCCGACAGGTACACACCCAGACGGACACACCATACCTCTGCGGAGGCAATAGCATGCACTCATACGCCTGCTAAGACTTAGC